CCCCCCCCCCCCCCCCCCCCCGAGCCCCCCGGGGGGGGGGGGGGGGCAGCTTGGGGCTCTGCTCGGTGGTAATGAGGTGTGAAGGAGACACAACGGAACTAATCTGGTTAATGAGGAAGAGGCGAGAAAATAACAAATGACCAACAAATTGTCTGGAGCTCACATTACACCAACAGCTGTGCCAGGACCCCCGTGAGCCAAACATGGAGCGTACTGATCTGGATCTGTCAGGGGGGAGATGGGACGGAGCGAAGCTCTGCAGATCTATAGAGGGGTCAGTGATGGAATAGTCTGCAGAATATATCACTATGGATCTGTCAGGAGGGAGATGGGACGGAGCGAAGCTCTGCAGAGAGATCAGTGATGGAATAGTCTGCAGAAAATATCACTATGGATCTGTCAGGAGGGAGATGGGACGGAGCAATGCTCTGCAGAGAGGTCAGTGATGGAATAGTCTGCAGAAAATATCACTATGGATCTGTCAGGAGGGAGATGGGACGGAGCAATGCTCTGCAGAGGAGGTGAGTGGTGGAATAGTCTGCAGAATATATCACTATGGATCTCTCAGGGGGGAGATGGGACGGAGCGATACTCTGCAGAGAGGTGAGTGGTGGAATAGTCTGCGGAATATATCACTATGGATCTGTCAGGGGGGAGATGGGACTCCATCTCCCTCCTGACAGATCCATAGTGATATATTCTGCAGACTATTGTATGTACCCCGCAGACTATGGTGGAATAGTCTGCGGGGTACATACAATGGTGGGTGGGTGTAGCCGGGCTCTCTAGGACCCAGGAGGGGAGTGCAGTTGGCAGTGTGTAGATTGCTCCCCTTGTCGGAGCCTCAGACAGAGAGCGGAGAGAGCGGAGGACAGACCGAGACCCCCAGACCTCCAGAGAGGTAAGAGTCCTCCTATGTGGGGGGCACACATCCCCTCCCCCCCCAGCACCCCCTCAGTATACAGAATGGGGGGAGCGCTGACCTCTGGGGGGTGGGGGGATGGGGGTACATTGTAGAGAACTTGCAGGAAACTTTGTTGCAATTTGGAGTTTGCAGACAATGAGAAGTTCCCCCTTGGCCACGCCCCCAGGCCGACATGGACCGGCCCTTTAAGTATCCAGCAAGCGTCCAGTGAAGGAGAGATGGAATTTTTTATTTTACTGTTGAGCCCCCCGGGGAGCGATGGGAGCCCATTCTGTCCCCAGCAGGACAGGTCAGCCCGCCGAGTGGCCCCTCAGTGATCCGGGGGCCACAACTTTCTGCA